CCAAAATTAATTAATGCCTATCATGTACCAGACAATGCCCACATACATTATCCTACTGAAATAGTCATTACTATACTCATTTTAATTATAGTAATGACTGTAAAATGAGTATAGTAATTGGGAAGAACCAAGGTCCTGAAAGGGCAAATTCTTTGTCCAAAGACTCAGTCAAAAGCTCTCTCCACTGTACTTTTCACTAGCTGGAGGTATAAATTACATCTGTAAAAGGCAACAAATGACTTCCTCATCACCAACTGCATTAATTTTAAAATAAATTTCTGTGAACATTTTATTCTTCGTGTTTCACATTATTTTCACTCTTCAAAGTACCTTTTAGGTGAATGATTCTGATCTAAGGGCCATGTAAATTCAAAATGGATCTTGTCATTTTCAACAGGAAAGGGGAAGGACAGATTTCATCTGAGTATCAGGGAAGGCAGGGCCAACATCCCACCTCCGGTTGATGCCATCTAGTCCCATCGTGTCCGTTTGCTTTCTTCTTTTTTAAAATTTATTTTTATTGAATGCTTGCTTTAGTCTTTTCTCAAATAGGCACCTAGACCTCAACATGAGAGGTTCCGTTTCAGTTCCAGCATAGCAGCAGCCCCATGGTCAATTCTTAGCTCCTGCTGCCCTCTGTCTCATCTACTCTCTTCACCAGAGTCTGAGTTAATGATTCAACATTGATTGAGGTGCCCGGCGCTATGATGCGTGATGGGTACAGAAATGAGGGGATGTTGCTCTCCAGGAGTGAGTTCTCACCACTCTTGCAACATTCAGGTTGTTCTCTCCGCCTCTCCACCCCTTTCTCCTCCTTCTGCCTGGGAGGGTATCTCAAGCCTCCTCCCAGGGGTGGTTAATCCTTCGGTGAACCGGTAGGAGGGTGCACAGGGAGCCGGCCCAGATCTCAGGATCAAAGGCACGTGCAGGAAGAACCTGAGGAAGCCGATGGGGCCCTCAGAAACGCCGCCAGCACCACCCAGTCTCCAAGGGCAGAGCCGGCATTTGGAGGGAAGGATGAAAAGCTAAGAGAGGAAGTTTGCCTCGCCAGCTGCGTGGGATCTGAGCATCCCCTCCCGGGCGGAGCGGGGTCGTAACCCCATATCCTTGCCTGGACCCGAAACTGCACCCGCACCCGGAAAGGGACGGCGACCCTGCCGGCTGTGTGCGCTCGGGCTCGGAACTGGGCGCCTCCTTCCCTTTCCTCCCTCCTGCTTCCACAGACTCTGTAAGGGTGTGTGGGGGGGGGGCAGGGGGGAGCAGAAAAGCCGCAGAGGAGTCCTTCCCCACTCTACCTCGGGGCTCGGGGCTCTCCCCTGCCCACCCCCTCCGCCCTGCGCTCACCCCGCGCGCGCCTCACTCCTGCACCTCTGCGCCCCAACTGTAGACCGGCTGCCAAAGAGCTGGACGGCTAGGGCCCCAAACCAGAAAAACAAAACAAAGCAAAAAAAAAACCCCGAAAACAAGTAAAACCTCCTCCCACTGGGGTGAAGGGAAAATCTTTGCTGACCTGGACCCAGGGACCCTCTTTGCAACTGAGGAGTCGCAAGAGACTTGGGTCCCGGGTTCCCAGATTTCTCTCCCTTTTGGAGGTCGCCTCGGAGGCCACGGCAGCCCGGCCCAAATGCAGTCAGGTCTTAATTCATCACCTGAGACCTGAAAGCTGTCCTTGAGCGCCGAAGACGCGCGCGCGCGCGTCCACACACCAGGACAGCACAACTGATTTCCGGAGGATCATTAAGCGTGAAGAACACACTGCATGCCATCGTGGAGTGAATAGAGAAGTAACTGAGACTGGAGCCCAGAACGTGCAGCCTCTTAAGAAAATTTCCCAAATATTTCCTTTCCCTCTGCATTAACTTCTTTTGTTTCTCTAATGAGACAGATCCCCAAACAGTATTCTCCAAGTGTGGTCCCAGGACTAGCAGCCGCAGCAGCCGCAGCATCGCTTGGGACTTACTGGGTAGAAATACAAATTATGGGGCTCCTCCCCAGATCTCCTGAATCTGGAACTGGGGGGGGGAGGGCGGGGGGGATGGAGCTCAGCAATTTATTGCCGCCAGCTGTGCAGGCGATTCTGCAGCCCACGGAAAAGCCAGCGGCTTCAAAGTCTGCTGGGGCAGTGTTTCCCTCCGGTCACTGGGTGTAGTAATCAGCTGCTGTCCACCTTGTTTATCGCGTCCATCTCCTTTTAGAAAGAAGTCTCCGACATGACAGGGGGAACCCTGCTAGATGCACTAGTTACTTGTAAAAAGTCATATAAGGAGAGAGAGAGAGAGAGAGAGAGAGAGAGAGAGAGAGAGATGGGACTTCCCCAGCTACAGTCCATTTTCAATATCTGTCCCCTCCTCCTGAGAACTCCCAGACACACCCTAATTTGAAGCACTTCCTTCTCCTTCCAGGCTTCTACAGCCGGTTTCAGATGTTCTCCTGGCTCTTCCTGAAAGCACCTTCTAAGATAATGTGGATAACCAAGAGGTCACAGAGAGAACACTCCCCACTCCTTACCCCTAAATACACTGGCTTGTGGCAAAGGGGGAACCCCTTTCCTTCTCTGGCAGCCTAGCCTCCCAGTCAAAGCAGGACACTCCAAGTTCCTGGGCGGTGGGCAGGTAGACTGGCGGTGGAGCCCTGTGGGGACAGACTCCAGGAGAACCAGGGGCACAGGGAGGAAAGGTGGGGTGGGTGTGGGGTGCTGATGATCTGCTTTAAGAGGAGGGCACAGGGGGAAGGAGAGATGTTGAGACCGGAAATGCCTGTGTGGGGCAAGCAGGTTTTCACGCTCTCTGGGCTACTGGTGGCCACAGCACAGTAATCACCACCGCATTGCTTGTTCCTTTCAGTGGACAACTGTGCCATCCCCAGTGCACCCAGGTCCCAGAGCCGAGGCTCCTATGAGTGGGGCTTCCCTGCAGCCAGACAGCCATGTGTGTAGCCCTTCTATTTGTTGGTCCCACTCCCCATCTTTGCTCTCTAAATTTTTCTGGATTCACTATTTCTAGGAAGCAGTCACATTTGCAAAGTGCCCTGGACAAAGTCGGAGGACATTGGAGAAGGGTAAAGGTGTGTGTGAGAGAGAAAAATGTGAGGTTAAACATAGCATCCAAGGGAAGTGTTCTGATTCTTACAGTAAAAAGGCCATCGCCTGTACATGATAAACATACACTCTTTGGAGCTTCCTGCCTGACACACTTTCAGGTTGGGTCTAGCATAGACAGCTCACTGCACTTAATAACAGTAATAGATATTTGCATGGATCCTTTCCTTTAGAAATCAATTGCACACATATAATCTCATTTGAGCCTACTAACGCTTTGTGAGGCACAAGAAGAAAAGTATTATTATTATTATTATTATCATCATCATCATCATCATCACCTTTATCCCCATCTGCAGAGATGAGAAAACTGATGACCCAGTCCCTTTTAGGAAAACACTGGACCCAGAACTAGAGCTTATCCCACTTGTTTCGAAATCCTAGCCTCCTGTCTCAAGTTTAAAGCCAAGGTTTCAAATGGTAGGCAGGGAGCACCGGCACTTTTATAAAAATTCGTTTGCATGTTGGGGTCCTCAGAGAATGCGCACTAAGTTTTTCCTCTAAGGGGCCGCCTGCACCGAGTGCTCAGAAAGTTTGAGCTTTTGATTTGTAAAAAACGCGAGTGGGAGCTTAGACAATGTGCTGACCTGAAACCCCAAAAACTGAATCACGCTGGGACTCATCTCTGACTTGAACTCCGGCCCGTGGAGGTGAGGGCAGTGTCCTCTGGTAGGAGAATTTGGGGATTAGGGAGGTGTCCAGATCTTGAAATGCGCTCTTCAAGGTCCAATTGGGGTGAGGGGAGGTAGAAGGACACCCTGAAAAGCCCTCTGAGAGGCCTATGACAGGCAGGTGGATGCGGAATCGCCGCAGTTCCCTGCCCTCGGAGAATGAATTGCACTTGCTAAGGTGCTAACTGATCACCGGCGGCGGATGGTTCCCTCTTCTGGACAAGCCCCTCCTGTGAGGGCCAAGCTGAGGACTCCACCCCTCATCCGCCTTTGGGGTTAGTAGGAGGTGAGTGCGGTGAAGGAAACAGGGGAGCTCTTCCTCCAGGTACCAAACTGAATCGAGAAAAAGAAAGGGGGGAAAAATGGAAAAGAAAGAGCAAATGAAGCGGAAGTTTCAAGGCCCTCTGCGAGGAGTAACAGTATAAATAACCGAAGACGTCTTGTAAACACTGCGGTCATAACCCCGAACATTAAACAGCCTCGGTGGCATCTGGCTCGGGGGCTGCCGCGGGCTGCGCTGGGGCAGCGCGGGAACCGGGTCCCAGGCTCCCGGGCCTTGCCTCTCTGTTTATCTCAACTTAATCTTCCCCAACGAGCTGTTCCGCAGCCTGGGAGATGTTTAAATTAAAACCCAGGCCGCCGGAAGTCGCGGCGGGGAGCTGTACGCACTGGCTAACCTTCACCGAAAGGCAGGCAGGCAGGGTCCTTGTTAAAATGGATTAATTATTAATAAGAAATATGTCATGCATGTTGTAGCGCTCTAAGAATCGGAAAATACCTCCTAAGGATTATGGAATTGACATTTTTCATAGCTCCCAGCTTTGCTTCACTGGTTTCTGACCGCGGGTGCCACGTCCTCGCCTGGGAAGTTATAAAACTGGGAGTTCACCTTCCTGCTCATGTCAGCAATTACACTGTGGAATACATGAACACCAGGGTTTCCTTTTCTGTGTAACAATAGCTCTAACCCCGCTCTTTCTTTGTTTACGGTTACATTATTTCTAATTGTCCTAAAAATAACCTGGGAACCTGGGAGGTCAGAGGTGTTTCTGAAGTTTCAGTGCGAAACCTGATCTGGACCATCAGAGTGGAAATCGGATTTAATCCTCTTCTATCTCTGGAAGTTGGGATCCAGGCGCGAAAGAACCATTTTTATTACCAAGCTTTCCCATAGTCCTTCACTTTTCTATTCCAAGTAACATTTTTTTTTTAAATCACACCAATGTCAGGGCTTTTAGCAATATAAAGAGAGATTTATTTTCAAAAAGTAGAAAAACTTGTTTGAAAAAAATATATATCTTTTGAGTGAATTACTTTATAAATGTGACTGTCAAAGTCAGCTATTCTATGATCTACACTTTACAACATATTGTACAACAGATACACATCGATAGGCTCTTATTAGCTATTCATATATTTATAATTACATATTGCACTTGGACCAGCAAGGCTCGCAGAGTCATTCACGGTACCAGGAATAAAGTTAAATAGATGGGAATCGTTGTCAGCACAACCGATCTCCTCCGGTTTGGAAACGAATCTCCTCGTCGCTGTAAAGTGTTCTCGCGGGGTGGGCCGGGGAGAGGAGCTTGGCGGGGGAAGCAGGGGCAGGGAGCAGGGAGGGCAGGGGTCGCCTTCGCGGGGCTCTTCCCCCGGGAGCGCGCCTTTCCCAGACTTGCACCTCCAAGGTCAGGACGCCGTGGTGCCACACAAGCGGCTCGCGGTCACCACTTCTTTCAGGTCGCTCTCTGGCTTCCCGGCCACCATAAAGGGCCACGTCTGCAGGAGAGAAGAGGGTGGAGGCGGTAAGTGGCCATGGAGGAGGGATGGGTGGGTTCCCTGACCCAGAGGGAAGGAGAGGGCGCTGCGGGGGCAGGCAGCGAGTCTCCCAGACCCGTTATCTCTGCAGTTCCCTCGGAGCCCCAGTGAGCCTCGTGGCTGGATAAAGCAAAAAGCAGCACTGGCTCAAGGCACAGCTCGGGGAGGCAGAGCAGAGCGGAGAGTCCACTTCTTGGGGGCAAAGTGAAACCCAAGAGAGGAGGCCGTTTGTTCAGCCCAAGGAGGCTGGTGCCAGGGCACAGTGCAGAGGACAGAAGACTTCTCACCAGGGAGGCACCGGGCTTGAGGCGAGGCGCCCTGCTCGGCCCTCTCTGAGGCCCTGGTCAGCTTTCCCGGACCTCCTGCTTTTAGCCCATCTGTCTTCCCCCTGCCGACTTCCCTGTCCTCCATCACAAATGCGGGCTTTGACCACAGACTCTGAATTAATCGCTACTTCTTAAGGAAAAAACAAAAACAAAACACTAATGAAAGAATATACACGCATATTTTATTTAAGATCATCTTCCTACTGGGCTGAGCAAGGATCACCTCTTCTCTTCTGGGCGTAAGAAAGCTCACTGACGATAAAGGCAGCAGTAAAATGTCAATGAAGGCACTGCTTTCATTTGACTTCCTGATTTTAAAAAGCTATCGACTCATCTCATTCGAAAAACAAACTTTCAGTTGGAGGGGGAAATATTTTTCGAGGCAAAATGTGGTTTTGCACCCCTCCCCCCAAATTCTGAAACTAACTCGGTGAGAAGACAATTCAAATCCTCAAACCTCTCACTAGCGCTGGCAGATAAGACGACTCGTAAGAGGAAAACCTCACCATCTTATCAGACACAAACAGAGGGGCTGGAAGCGTTGTTTTTCTTTGGTGCCTGTTCGTTTTAAAATCAAATCAAATGATAAAAGAATCAAATATGTTTCTGTCACAGCAAAATGCATGTGAAGAAACCATTAGGCTCAATGAGCATTACTTTTAAAAATAAGAAATTAAAATGTTCTTAAATCTTGGATGAAAGTGACCTTTTCAATATTATTTATTACACCAGTACCGGCGAGAATGTACTAATGATGCTGCTATTTGCTAGAACTTCTGGGATTTAAAAATGTCAACCCACCTACAGGCGAAGCGCAGACTATTGAAGTGGTTGAGGACTCACATGACAAGTATGGGGGACATGACGTGTCCATGTCTAACGGTCCTATAAGGTGCTTGGGAAAGAAACCGAGTTGGGTGGTTTTATTTGCAAGAACTGGAGGGGAAAATCGAGTTCTACTCTCTAGTAGCTAGACTAGAGGAAGAATCAAGGGATTCATAAAATGCCTCTTGGGGCGCAGCCTCTGGTCCGCGTTCCCCGTCCCGTCCCGCACCAGTCCCTCCACTCGAGCCCCCATGGCGCGGGGACCAGGGGATCCTCCTCCTTGCCAGCTCCGTCCACTTGCACACTCCTAATTGGGCTGCCACGTCCAACACTTGCATAAATCATCCCCGCTCCGGCGGCTGGCAGGGCAG